GTCTTGTACTTAACCATGTGATACATGTTCAGGAACAGCTGATCATTGTTTAACATGTATAGATAGTATTAATTAAACTGTTGATTCATCATATGAATGTAAATGCAATTCTGGTTTTATAATGAATGGAGTATATTGTGAAGCTTGTCAAAATCCTTGTCTATAATGTTAAGGAACTACTAATTACTGTACTGCATGCAAAGATATAGAACATTTTATATCTAATGGATAATGCATTTGTAATCCTGGTTACATAAATGATAATGACTATAATTGTATACCTTGTTAAGATGAATATTAACTTTTTTAAGGATAATGTATATGTGAAATAGGATATTATTATATTGATTTTCTTTGTGAATAATGTAGTTAGAATTGTAGTAAATGTAACTCAAAATATGAATGTACCGAATGTATAGATTAATATTATTTATAAAATACTTAATGTTTAAAATGTCAATTTCCATGTTTATAATGTTTTGATATTTAAACTTGTGAAAAATGTACAGATAATTATTTCATTGATGATAAGGGAAGATGTATATAATGCATGTAAAATTGTGAATATTGTATTGATTCAACTAATTGTGTTAAGTGTTTTGATGAATTCTATTATCATAATTAGGCATGTATCCCTTGTTCTCATTAATGTTAGACATGTGAAAAAAATAGTAAATTTTGTACATCCTGTTAAAATTAAAATCACATACTAGATAAAAAAAAAGGTACTTGCTATTAAATTAATGATTTTGGGGATTAGTATGATTATGATGTTTTAGAAGAAATACTATTACTCCAAGATATCAGATGCAATAAAAATTAATAATTGATAGGTTATGCATGTATTGATTAATGTGGAAATGGTATACTTAATGAATAATATGAATAATGTGATGATGGTAATCAACTTGGAGGAGATGGATGCTCATTTTTTTGTATTTAAGAGGATTCCTATTTGTGCAAAAACTATGTAAATTCTCCTAGTATTTGTTCATTTATACAAGCTCCAGATTTTAGATTGAATCTTCTCTCCAATTAATAAAATCAAACTTAGCTTATTGAATTAAGTTTCACATAAAAAGTTAAAATACCAACTGATTTAAATTTTTAAGAAATTGCAATAATTTCAATTATTCCATAAACTCGCACTAATATAAATATACTGTAAATAACAAGTCTATCAACTGAATTTGAATATCCAAAATATTAAATTATAGTTGAATTTATAGACCCTGTAGAAGATGTTTATCTATAGATAGAATTTGATTAATCACTTATCAAAAATGAATATGATTTAGATTTAATTAGATATTAAATGTAAATAAAACTTGGAAATCAATTTATACTTTCATAATAAAACTAAAAACAATTAACATAAATAGTACTTCTTAACGATGCAATTATGTATTCAATGATTAGTATATCTGGATTATCATTCCTTACTGGAAATGCTAACATGTTTTTTAATTTAATAGATCTTTTATAATCTTTATCCTATATTAGATATATGTAATATAATTTCCCACTTCATTTAATATAATTCTTGAATATATATTCTAAAATATCATTAAAACCTATATTGGATCATTTGTAGATTGATGAATTATTAAAATATTTAAATGGAGGTTAACAACATTTCTAAAATTCAAAGAGCTTAAATTAAAATTAAGTAAATCCATTAAATTAAATTTACCTATTGAATGCTAAAGGTTGTTATCTATTAATTATTGTTTCATTACTAACATATATAATTTGTAGACTATTGACATCTTAAAAAATATTATTAATGTAAAGAAAATTATTTGAAAAATATCAATAAAATGAAAAATACCTTGGTTATATTCTATTTTTTCAAAAGAAAATATAGAGCTTTTGTGCTAAATTTAGAAAAGAATACATCTCTTTTGGTTTACCTAAAGTCTATTTTGCAATATTGCATTAATTATTTTTTAGTGCCTTGTTGTAATTTCCAAATTATAGCTTTAATTCTTTATTTATGACTTTTAATAGCATCAATGCAATGTTTTGTTTAATTTTAATTTTATTTATTAGTTTATCATTACTGTCAATAACATAAACTAATATAAAAGATAGACTAAAATGGAAATATTTTTATTAGGATTCTTAACCTTAATTTTGGGCTTTGAATTAAAAATCATTCTAGATATACAGAATAATGTTCTATATATTTATGATTGTTGAGGCACTTAATTATCCTGAAATATAATCAATTTTACTCTCTATGTCCTCATTTTTCTATCTA